ACAGTGAAGTTCTAGGTTCTGAGAGAATTTAGAAGTGAGAGGACCATTCTTCAATCATGAGCAACAAGAACATTCAGTTACTTGATAGAAGATCTGGTAGATGGGGGATTATGTTTCAGAGGTAGTCGATAATTAACCTGTGAAACTTGTTGCCACAGGATACTGTTAGCTGATCTTCCTGTGATTAGAACAGATTTGACTCTGGGCCCTGGACAGAATTTGAACTGGTGATCTGTAGATTTGCATGTTTGGTGCAGGTGGCCTGGAGCATTTGGCTGCCGAGCCCCAGGCTGACATTTGGTGAATTCAGCTGTACACAACGTGTGTGTGCAACTGTGTCAGAATTGCAGAGGGAGAAGTCTCTGTCCTCATCTGACTGGAGTGATTTTGGAGATTTGGGGGCTAACTAATTTTTTTAAACATATTTGTTTACAAGAAAGTTTGGGTAGTAATTAACTAGGTAATTACAGAATTGGCCAAATTTATGCAGTTTCTGCAGAGAGCACAGGCTAAGACAGTCTTCCCCATTATGGTATTTCTTGCTCTGTGGAGTTGAGGATTTCTTTGTGTTGAGATCCAGAAGGAAAACATGCTAAACATAGCCAGTTCTTGTTACAGCTCAGCCTTCAGAGCTTGCTCCTTCTGCCTCTTATTTTTCAATATGGTTCCCAGGTTATGGTGTTCTGTGGAAGGCAGTTGAGGAATACTTGTCTTCGGGGCTCTCACTGCCTAATACGTAGAACAGGAAAATTCACTCCTGTTGGCCCCCCAGTGTTGTGGAGGAGGGTTTATTAGAAAGGGAAAAAGTATGTTGATACCCCATACCTTCAGGTATTTCCAAGTAAGCTTGGAAGTTTACTTGATGTCCATCACTTCACTGCTTTCTAAACAGGTGAACTAAGGTGATGGTTAACTTCAGTCTTAAAACTCCTGGTGTTTGTGTGAGTTAAATTGGAACATAAGTGAAGAGGCTTATGCTTAAATTTCTTACATTCTGAAGTTTTCTGTTGGTTTAAAGATACTGTGTATTGGAGTCTCATACTTGGTTAGAAAGTCTGCATTCGTCTGTTTCCATCACTTCAAATTGGGACAGGTATATGTTATTAAACAAGTAATTAGTGTTTTCTTGTCAAATTCAATGTTCTGAACACTTGGAAAAACTTTGGTGTTTTTCAAATTAAAAACAAACGTGTGTCATTGTGACATTTATATGGAAATAACAGGTAAATATCATCTTATTCTACTTGAAATTAAATTTGGTAACTGCTTTCAGTGTCACATTTGGATAACTGTACTTAAGTGCTTTCTGTTAGTAAAGATGCCAAACTTCTAATGCTTGTAAGAATTGCGGTAATTATTTTCTCATGGAATAAAATACGTCTTACAAAGAGTTCAAGCATGGCAAAGTGGAAATGATAACGTTGAATTAAAGGACATGGTCATGTCTTTCCTTTTAAAGTATTGTTTCTCTTTGAAATATGCTTACCTTTGTGGTTGTGGAATCTCTATCAAGTACAGAATATTCCAGCTGAGAAGCTGCAATTAGTGAAACTACTCACAACTAGAGAGGAACAGTGAGAGTGGGTTGAGGTACTTGAACAAACTCTTAACCACAAATACAAGCTAAACAGCCTGGCTGGCAGGTAACAATACAATAACGCTAGCATGCATGCTAATTAACTTCTGTATGTTTTTCTTTAGATTTGCAAACGAGACTATCTCAGCAGAATGAAGGTAAACTAGCACTTGATGTAACTTGTTGCCAATAGGGTTTGTTGCAGATGTCTGAGTGAAATGCTTCTGGTGTAGTTTGCCAACAGCCTGAGAAATTGTATTGTATTAGTGTCTGTAGGAATCATACTATGTATTGATTATTGACTGAAAATAACAGAATGTATGTTAAACACTTCACCTTTTCTTTGTAGCATTCCTCAGTGTTGGTAACATTCCCCAGCCAGATGTTAGTCCTAGAGAATGTGTGGGTTTCTGGTTTTTTTTGTGTGTTTAGCTGTAGTTGGGTGTGGGGTTTTTTCCTGCCTTAGGGGTAGGGACTAGAGGGGTCATTTGAGAATCGAGAGTTTGGGGTTACTGTCCCTGGGCTAGCCATCATCTTACTCTGTGTGATCCTTGATGTCTGCATATGTAGAGAGAAGGTGGCCGTTCTTTCAGCTAAATTAACGGAAGCTTACAGCCTATTGAAAGGGTCAGCCTATAGGACAGTGCTTATCTTTAATAAAATGTACTGTGATGATGAGCAACAATAAATGAACAGTAATAATTTCATAGTTACTGGGAAGGAGTATAGATCTATTTTACAGTTAAAATGTTTGTACTTTTAGTTGTCAAATATTTCCTATGTTACATGTTTCCAAGGGACAAACATATGGATATACTTTTTTTTTTAAGGATAATTCAGTGTGCTTAAAATACATTTTGAGAATGCTCAAAGATGTCTGTCACTTCGTGTGAAATCAGATGGGCTTGTCTTGCTCCAGCCTGAGCTGCTGCTTAGCTTCTAAGAGGAGAAAAAAATTAAAGGTGCTGCTGGCATACAACTCGGGCAGACTTTTTAAATGCATGTGAAGATGCATGTGTCTGCATTTAAATGTTTAAATTGAAAATCTGCCAGAATCGATGTACAAGGTTGTCTTTTAATTTCTCAGCTTCAACTGTAGTTCATCTGTGCTACTTTCTGTATTGATCAATTTAAAATTATCATAGATAGTGTCTAGTTAGGAGTTTTGCTTTCCTGCCCTCAGTTTTCTGTTGAGTAAGAACTGTTGCAGCTATTGCTGAATGTTGGGATTTTAAAGAATAGATAGAAGACACTCATTTAAATTGGAGCCACGCGTAGCAGGTTCTTAGACTTGTTACTGTATTTTTCCATTACAACAGTTCTGGCTGCAGCTGCTTCTGTACAACCACTTGCAACACAGTGCTTCCAGCTTTCCAACATGTTTAATCCTCAAACGTAAGTGATTTATCATTGTCTGTTTCTCTTTGGCATTTGCTGATGACTTTAACATCTGAGAAAGGAATCAGAATGCTGGAGACATTTCTTTTGATGGGTTTTGGGGTGGATTTTGTCTGAGTGATAACAATCCCATCTCTGTCCTGTTGTTCCCCCCCCCACAGCGAAGAAGAAGCTGGCTGGGATACAGAAATTAAAGATGATGTGATTGAGGAATGTAACAAACATGGAGGAGTTATCCACATCTATGTAGACAAAAACTCAGCTCAGGTACGTCTGGTTCCAAGGAGACACTGAGCAGGTTTCAGGAGTTTTGTTGCTTTGTAGTGTATAGAGGAAGCATTACAAATACTTTTTTTTTTTTCTTTTCACCTAAACGGAATCTAAATTTCTTGAAGTTACTTTGCAGTTTTTCCAGAATGTAGGTGGTTCCCTCCTGTTTTGAGTCATTGTGTGTAACTCGAATGCAGGTATGAGAGCAGTTCTGGGGTGCTGCAGTCCGTTCTTACAGATTTACAGAGCTGAAGTTACCGTGGAAATACAGGCTGAAGAGTAGTGACCTCTTTAATTCTGGCATTTGGCTTTTCCTTTAAGCTGTGCATTTCCTTAAAGCCAGGGACTTCCAGTTTCCTCCGTTTCTAGAGAATGCAGGCTTTAGCACAAAGACACCCTGCTCCAGCAGACTTGAGATGCGCAGTTAAATGTGTGCATAATCCCATGCTTGGAAACAGTTGTGTTCACCAGTAATGTTAAAGTCTTGCAGTGGGCAGTAGGAGTGCCTAGAGTTAAAACAGGGAGGAGAAAGAAAAAGGGCTCCTGATGCAGACTTAATTACAGGTTAATGCCTGTTTGAGGGACTCTCAGCCTGCATCTTAAAAAGGCTAATACATTTTTCTTCTGCGTTCACTTTGTTTATGCTATCCCCAGACTGATTCTCTCTTCCCCTGTATTTCAGCTCTTAGAATATAAACTGTGGAAGGTCTGTAAAGAGATTTGGCCTTCTTGAACCCTTTTTATATAGAATGTAGAGCCCAAACTGGAGTACAGTTTTCAAACACACAGTCAGATAGATTAATTTCTAACCATCAGACCCTGGAAGTATCCCATTGTGTTCCATTCCATTGTGCAAGGTTGAAATCTACACCACTGTCCCTGTCAGTATTGCTGAGACGGGATTGTTCTGCCCTGGTAATGCACTTGGCACTCACAAACCTTTGTTATCATTGTGTTGCTGTGCTTTCTACAGAAAACTCTTGTCACCTGGAACCCTTTCACATGCATTACTGAGATGTTAGATTGGAGATGAGCTGCAGTCTAGTACATGAAACAACATACAATCTTTCCTAGCATTTTGTAATCTTCAGGATCACTGCTATGTTGGACTGCTGGGCTGATGGGCAGTAGAAACCTTTCCCGCAGTATATTAGTCTGTTACTATCTTAGAGAAAACAAAGTGTCTTTTGACAGCTGGGACACACACAGAAAACCCTAACACACAACCCCAAAAAAACCCACCACCCCCAAACCCCAAAAAACTCCACAGCCCTCAACATACCTCACATAGTTGCTGAGCACAGGGCCGCAAATCTGTTTTGCATTAGCAAGTGGATTTAAAAGAAAAATCAGCTACTATATCATGAGTTAGCCATTTGTTACAGGAAATGCATTTTGTCACAGTACTACAGCGATGACCCAGATGTAAAATACCCACTCGTATTTTAAAGTACTGTATTTGAACATAAGTTTCCACTGTGCTGTTCTGTTTTCCAGGCTTAGATTCTGGTCACATTATCTTTTAAGGATTTTCATCTCCCATCTTTTCAGGGCTCTTTCCCAGACAGCCAGACTTCCCAGGCTAAGGGCTGTCAGTAATCAGCCATGAAGATGTGATTTGTTGTGGGTGAAAGGATTGCAGTCCCAACTAAACACATGGTCTCATGTACTGCACCCATCTACACGGTGGTGTGTTAAGGAAAACTAAAGCTTTGCGTTGCTGTATCTGATTTCAAGGTTTAAGCGGCTTGGATGCCTGTGCAGGAGGGAGGCTAAGAACAGAACTGTGTGTGTTAATTGCTTAGTGCCTTAAACATCAGCCCCTGATCTCACGTTTTCCCCCTGGGAAGGAATAAGTTAGATCACAGTGGAAAGAGTTAGTACAGGCTGGCAAAGGCTGGGTCCCGTTTCTTAATATACTCTTTTCCTGTAAAATCTGTATCAGCTAGAATCTGATCTGGTTCAAAAATTACTGGTAGTATTCTATTTTTAAGCAGGCAGCTAGAAAAATGCATACACATTACTGTGGGCGTCTGTATGTCTTGCAGTTGTTGAATGTGAATACTGCAGTACTCTGGATTAGGCTGGTTTAGTGCTTAATTTGCAGATAGAAAACTTCAGGTATCTGGCAAAGTTAAAGATCGGTCTGTCATTTATGTCAGATATCACCTTAGGCTCTTCTTGGCCTGCTGTGATGGGTTTTCTCCCTTCGTCTCCGTCCTTCTTTAAGTAAAGACAGACAGATGCTGAAGTTTGTGTAGGAAAATTTTTACAGTACCAGTCTTCCTTCGAAGTGCTGGACATCCTTCCTGCCCCGGGGAATGGGGAATGCTTAATCCCTTTGAAAACCGGACTGTGAACTTGTGTGTTTAGTTAAGCATTTGTGGTTAAACTTGGTGATTTACAGAACTTGATGGCTAGTGTGCAGTAGAGGTAGCCAAACTCCTTGTGCTTTTCTGTGTTGCATGAGACTTGTAATTGGGAGCCATTAGATGCTCTCTTGAAGGCCTATCATGAGCAAGTAAGCAATCCGTTACTTGATTTCGGATCAAGCTCACATTTGGTCTGTTTTGCACAATCCTATTTAGAAAAGTTTCATGCTAAGATAACTGTTACAGTATGGTAATGCATGTCAGCAAAAAACTGTCCACTACTCCATTTTCTCATGCTCATTCTGCATTGCCGGTTGATACCAGTAGGAACATAGTGAGGCAGGTTTGCCTCCGGCACAACCTCGCAAAGGAAGTGTCTTGAGAATAGACGATGTGGGAGGTTTCTCCAGCTTCTAACGGGCTGTAACACTTCTGCATTACAGGGCAACGTGTATGTCAAATGTCCTTCGATTGCTGCTGCCATTGCAGCTGTAAATGCGTTGCATGGGAGGTGGTTTGCAGGTGAGTGGATTTCATGTAGAGACCTATGTTTATTCATGAATTACAGAGATGACCAGATACTGATTTTGGTTTTGTTTTTGTTTTTTTTCAATCTTCTGACTAGGTAAAATGATTACAGCAGCGTATGTACCTCTTCCAACGTACCATAGCCTTTTCCCAGATTCTATGACTGCAACCCAACTACTGGTTCCCGTTCGACGATGAAGATGGATTTAGTCAGTTTTGTACATAGTTATTTTTTGGAGGAAGATTGAGTTATCTTTTATTTAGATAAAACTAAAGGAGAGGATTTAATGTCATTTTGTGTACACTTCCTGCTACCTTTAAAAATAAAATGAAGTAAGCAGAAATGCAGTGTGTTCATTCTCCCTAACTAGCATTTCCACTGTATACAAAGCTGTTGACTTCTTGTTCTGCCTTGTAATTCTTGTACATTTACTAAGGTGATCTGTAGGAACTGAGAAGTAGCTCATAGAAAACAAGTTCTCTGTAAAAGGCAGATGGGACATAATGGCATTTTTAATGTTTCACAGGCCTTTCTTTTAATGCAGCAATTACATTTTACATTTCACTAAATGTAGGTGATCTGCTAAAGGTTAATACCAGAGATAGACTTTATGAAGGGACATATTTAGTGTTTTGTATAAATGGAAAATTCAAAAGGCTACTGAAAGCTGACTCTAGACAGCCACTCAGCTTGCTTTGTGCTGAATAATTGGTAAGAATAGAAGGATTGAAGGGTTTTATTTCTTGATGGTAACTTTTGATTAATGTATCTGTAAAAGTTTCTTTGTAAATACTGTGTGAGGTGTGTCTACGTTTCCAAACAAAACGATCTCTGCATTTCCAGATAAGTTTCTATGTATGCAGTGTGGCACAGTTGAAGGATTTCAGCCGAGTCTGAAAATCAGTAGGAAATACAGAAACATGTTTTGTTCTGGTTGCATATAATCTTTGCTCTTTTTAAGCTCTGTGAGCTCTGAAATATATTTTTGGGTTACTTCAGTGTGTTTGACAAGACAGCTTGATATTTCTATCAAACAAAGACTTTCATATTGCAACAATCTTTGTAAGAACCACTCAAATAAAATTCTCTTAAAAAGGCCTTCATGACACTTTATTTCTCCGTTCTCCTAATGTGAGTTAAGCAGTGTGTGCTGGAGACTGGAGGTGAGAGAGGGGTGCTTTGAAATGGCAGACGTTTGGAATGCCGCTTCGCTGGGAGAAGAGGGAGGAGCTGGTTCCTGCTGTTTTGAACCCTCTGTGCACTGCGGCTGTGGTTAAGGGCCTGTGGGTTTTCTCACTGCTGGGCAGTGGACAGCTCTTGCCCTTTCTCGGGCCTGCTGCAGATTCGCTGCAGTTAGCTTCCCCCCGCCCACCTCTGCCCCCATCTTTCACAAATGGTTGTGAATTGTGGGGATGTAGGAGTAATGGGTGTTGGCTGTTGGTCTGGTTTCTGTAGGGAAGCCTGCCCAGGTGGATTGCCCTCTTAGCACCCCTTTCCCACCTCCCTGTTATTTTTAACCACTGGCCAATAAAAGCTGTGTTTGACAAAGGTGTAGAGAGTACATTCCACCCAGGTGGGTAAAAATGGGCTGGCAGGGATGCTGCCAGAGCTCTGAGACAGAATGTGGCGGTGACCTGGTCTCCAGCCTCTCGGGTGCTGCTGTTTGGGCCGTACGTAGCTGTGGCTGAGCTGCAGTACGGTAAGAGACTTCGGCAGTCCGAGAGGGAGCTATGGGGGGAAATGGGACTGGGCACCTGGAGGTAGTACAAAGGCGAATGCGGGGAGGAGCCGGGAATAGACTACAGGAGGGTGTCCTACGAGTACATAACGCAGCTGAAGAAAGCCAAGCGAAGCTGCTCTCCAGTTCTGCTTGACCTTATTTAAGTTGCTAGTATTAATCCAGCAGTGCCAGTTGGAGTAAAACTTGAGCTGTTCCAGAGCAGCTGCACTGCTCGACTTCGTGGTTATTGGCAGTTCCTCTCTCAGAGGTAATTGAGCTGCATGACAGCAGACAGAGCAAGCTTTTCATGGCAAATTTGTTTCTCCCTTAGAAACTGGCAAACAGCGCTCGTACTGGGTAAAGGCTGTATAGGTGCTGGTTCAGGTTCTGCTGCTGCTGCTAACCTGTCCTCCATTTCTGTTAAAGAAGAGGAGGTGCAAAAATAAGCCTTGTTCCAAAAGACAAATAACAGGAGGTTGCGACCTGATCATTTCATAGTGCTGTAGAGGCTGGTGAATGGCAGGGAGTAAGCCTGTTCCCCCTGGGAAGCGTGGCGTGCCTTGTAGACCCAGTAAGGCAGGTGGGAGGAAGAGAGTGGTGGAGCACTGCTCCTGCAGGTGAAGCCCCCTCCCTTGCCAGGGGAATGAAAAAAGCCACTGCATGTTCCTGCTGCTGGAGGCAGCTGCAACCACTGCTGCTGCCCTTCCCTTCTCTGGAGGGGCTGTACGGCAGAGCGCACCTCGCTTCACAAAGGGTGCGAGGCTGCGCCCTCCAGAGCTGTGAAGGAGGCGGCGGGTGGTCGAGCTGTGCTGTTCTAGCGCTGATAATGCAGCAACCGCAGCACAGCTAGTCCTGAGGGGAGAGCGTTAGGAAGGGCAGTACTCAAGGCCTGACAAGGCGGCTGCATCTCCCAGGTCTGGTGTGGAAGTCATCCTTGTGACTCATCGCAAAATACCGCCAGCTGTCATGTGACGGGAGCTGTTTTCCATTTTCCAGCAACTTAATGATTTCTGGCTCTAAGTAGCATGGCTGTAACTGTTCTGTTCCCTGACTGCTTCCTGTGCCCACATGCTGCCAGGCCGGCTGGAAGAATGCGCCTGAGCTGCTGTAGTTTGCCCTCAGCGGCAGAAGGACTTGCCCAAGTCCTTCTGGGGTCCCTTGCGCTCTCTCTGAGGGTGTATGCCCTGTATTACCTGGAACTCGGCAATGGGGCCGGCTTCAACCCACCTATTTTTTTGCAAGAGGAGAGAAACTTGATATTTGATCTGAATTACCCACAGAGTGACTCCCCTAGACTCGGGAATGCAATGGAGTGGCTCCCCACCAGCACATCGGGACTGTGAGCTGCCAAAGTACTAAAGGGAGAAATATGTGCGCTGTACTTATGCCTGTGAAATAAGAACATTAATGTAGTAGAAAGGATTATTAATTTTCATTGTCATGGGAGTAAGAGACAGGAGAAAAGTAGAAATTTGGTAAAAAGCATGTTTACAATCAGCAGAGCAAGGAGGACGGTGCTTCACCATCTCATGAAGAGCTCTCACTTCCAGGTATCTAAAGATTTTATTATGGTACAGAGGAGGAACGGCTGGACGGGGACACTCCGGGTTAAAACGCAAGCTCCATGTTAGCAGCGGATTCCCATACCAATAGCCATGAATGTCCCAAACGTCCCTCCACTTTGCATCATCGTTTTGCCAACTCCACCCATCAGCTCTCGTCCTCTCATGCCAATCCTGAGATAAAGAAAAACAGAGAAATTACATAAAAGCTGAAGCCTGACAAGTAACAGATATGCAGCAGAAAACATCTGGCACAACCAGCTAATGATTGCCTGAGTGCCTAAATCAAACTCCTCCTCTTCAGTCTAAATTTAAAATGACGCTGCCTACCTCTGCAAGGAGCCAGGCTGCAGTGCCCAGAACCTGAGCTACTGCAAAAAATGGAGCTGTTCTCTTTGGGGCACTTGAGTGACCCCCACTGATGGCCCACCCATATTTTTTCCTGCAGCGGTACCAGCTGATGCTGTACCCTCCCACCATGCCATTAGCAGGACCAGCTTTACCTGTTAGTACCCCAAATACCCTTAATTTGGGGGGAAAAAATTGCACTGTCCCAACTATTTGACTTGCCAGAGAATAAAAAGGGTCTGAGCTGTTGTATTACCATCCTGTCTGGCTGCAGTGGCAGTATTTTTAATACCACCAACTTAAAACCATGTTGTAAACTAACTTCCTATTTACCACTGACACTGTTAATAGGAGAGAAACTTGAAAAGCCTAGAAGCGTCCAGGGCATTTCTGTTCTCCAGCTCCCATTTACCTGAGGTCAGACCAAAACAAAGAGAATTGTTCCGTCTCAGGAAGCTCTCGTAATATCTGGCTTTTAAGCACTGCAGTGACTGCAGGGTCTAAGGAATTTCAGGCACTTGGTTTTTAAAACATAGAGATTTTCCCTGATACAGGAGAAGTAACTTCGTTGTGTCATTCAAGTACAACAGAACTACTGTCACTGCTGCTTCTAAATACCCTAAATCTCTATTTTCTGCTAGCATTGTACCACTTACAAATACTCACCAAGATCTCAGAGAGATCAGAAAACTTTTTAAACTTAATCAGATTAGACTTCGTGCCGCCTTCTCCTTTTAGGCTCACTACCAAATCATTGCTCATGTTTAATGACAGATTAAAAACTCTCAAGCAGAAAGAGTTCTGCAAAATATGAAAGAGCTTATTTCAGTAATTCCTTTTCATGGATGATGCATGCCAAAACCAGTTAGCGAGCAGCGCAAGAGCCAACTTGGAGCAGTGAGCATTGTTTGCTTCTGTGCCAGCCTGTCGGGGAGCGCCGGGGAAGGTGGAATATTGTCCCTCTCTGATTCACAACGGGATCGTGCCAGTGTCAGCCACAGCTCTGCCTACGCTCTTGCAATTGAGCCTCGGGGTTGGGACGGCAATTGCCTCCATGCAGGGGGATGGGACACCCAAAACAACCACCACGCAGATACCCGAGAGCTTGCAGAGTACCTCAGGAGGCTTTAGAGCGAGGAGAGCGCTGCACGTGTATCTGCACAGACAATTCATCCAGCTCCTCCTGGAGCTGATCTTCCACAGCCTCAGCTTCCCAACGCAACCTCCCTTCAGAGCGGCAGGAAAAGGTCTGCAACACTGCGACCTCCTCGTACGCAGCTGACCCAGAGGTGATGCCCCGCCCCGCCGGCACAAAGTCTAATCTGATTGAGTTAAAAAGTTTTCTGATCTCTCTCAGATCTTGGTGAGCGTTTGTAAGTGGTACAATGCTAGCAGAAAATACAGATTTAGGGTATTTAGGAGAAGCAGTGACAGTGGTTCTGTTGTACTTGAATGACAGCCTCGCCATCGCCAGACTTCCCCATCCGCGGCCGGGACTGACAGCAGGCTCTCAAACTGCGGCTAATCCGGAGCCACTGGCAAAGTTTCACCTACGTGACGACACAGGACCAGACCCGCACCTCCCTTCCCAATCCCAGAGTGGGAGCTCTCCTCTCTGGCTATCGCTCTGTCACAACCCGTCCATGGAAGCCATCGCCTCGGCATACCTGAGGCAGGAAAACGTGCCGAACAGCGCTCCTGCTGCCATGCCCACTGCAAAGCCCATCATGAAACCCATCTTTACTCTGTCAAAGCAGCTGGGCTGTGATTGCCCGTACGGGCCCACGGTCACAGGCATCTGGAAAAGAAAGCACAAAAACCCACATGGATCTGCTGCTTTGTCTCGCACACTTCTATAAGCAAACCGGGCCGGAGAGCAGGCCCGCACACTTCAGAGCCTCTTGTAAGCGTAGTGCCGGAGGCTTTGCAGGCTGTCAGACTTGTTTCCTCGCACGTCAAGTAGGAAAAGGCAGGGAGGGAATGCCGGTGCCTTGACGATGGCCCCGTTTCGCCCTCAGCAAGCCCCTGGGAGGACCGCTGTGTCTCCGAGAGCTGTTTCAGGGCCTCAGTCCGTGCTCGTCAGCTCACGCCGAGCAGCGCACGGCGGCACCTGGCAAGGCCTC